AGACAGCCAGAATTCCAACCATGATCTGACAACTCTCAAGTCCATAAGCATTTCACCTTGCTATGTTACCTCTCTTTTAAGGCCCTCTGTCCAAGTTAGTTAATTATATATGTATCTGTCTCTCCTATGAGATTATAGTAAATTCCTTGATGGCAGGGTCCAGGGTGTGTTCATCTTTGTAAGCGTGGAACAGGGCTTGTTCTACAAGGGTGTTATGAGGACAAAATGAGACAATGCATACAAAGCACTTAGCATAGTGTCAGGCAGATAATAAGCACCCGGTAATTTGTTGTTACCATGGCAGGTACCAAGAATAATGCCTTGCACATAATTTCTGAGCTGAGACTCATTTCTGAGAAACAAAGGAAATAGGTAAAGATCTGAGAGGAGAGACAAACACAGCTTTGGTTTCACACTTTACCACGCTACTTGACTAGCCAATCAGAGCAAACAGAGTTAAGGAAGCTTCTAAGAGGTGGTCAACTAATTTTAGTAAAACTTCCTTTTTAGTTCAAAAATCTTACAGCATTGTCACTTCATCGCTGCCGTCTGCTATGTGGTTTGCCAAAGTTCCCTTGTGAGAAATCAGTACATAGCAAGTTCTGAGCTAGGAGAAGAAGAAAGTTACAAAAGTAAATGGCAAAATAAAATCTCAAATTCTGGTACTTGTAAATACGGTGGGAAACTTTTTTCTGCACAGCATTAGCAACGCTTTAAATCATTTTATTTATTTACTTGTTTGTTTTTTCAGTGCCCCGAAGTAGGAGGAAAGCTCCTTCAGGCCAGACAATCTGTCTGTCCAGTCTACAGCCATCCGCCAGGGCCTAACACATATATGGCACATAACAGTCACTCATTTAATATTGGTTGATTGATAGCAAATATTTGTATGTATATATATATATATTTATACTTATCTATGATGTCATTCCATGATTTATGAATACCTGTGCATGTACCCTCACACATAAGTCCATGTAGTACATTTGTGTACATATATTTATATTCGTGCAGAAGATGCTTGAGGCTAGAGAAACAGGGATCCCTCTGATACCAGTCATCCTTAACATAAGCTTTTGGCTAACCTGTCTGATATTTAACAAACATATATTACTACACACATGTCAAAAGACAATGGTTTTTATTAAATGCACAGAATGGAAAAAAAAAATTTGTCTGACTTAAGAAACCATGAAACTTTTATCATCTTTTAAAACTTCTTATTCCTGTTTGTTAACATTAAGTACACACATATGTGTGCATAGTAAGGAGAGACCATTCATGTTTCTCTGCAACTTTAGCAGGTGAAAGGTTCTAAATTCTTATGGGCTGACCAGACGCCTTTATTTAAATTGTAATATATACAGGAAATTATAATTTATAGCAATCATAATAGCAACCATTTATTGGGTGCAGAAGATGCTAGACACTTGGTATCAGTTATTTTATTTAAACCTTAAAACAACCCTGCAAGGTAGATGTTATTACCATTGTTTTAAAAATAAGGAAGGTAAGACTCAAAGACATAGAGTAACTTTCCAAAGATACTCTGTTGTTTATCTAGTAGTGACCCAGTCTACAATTTCAAGATTCTACTCTGAAGCCCAAACTTCTTTCAATAGGCAATGATGTCTCTTACGCAGTTTTACAGACACTAACTTTGAGGTATACAAGTTTAGGCAGTTTTTATATTGTATGGATTTTAATAAGTAATTCTCCGCACATAGAGACTAGACCAAATGTCAGCCAAACACAGTGAAGATCACTCCAGGCTACAGACAGCAAAGAGCAAAAGTGTCTGAGAAACGATCAGCCTGTGTTTCTCATAATATGAAGCATTTTCCACTTGGCTGTGTCCTCCAAAACAAAATCTAGTCTCTAACAGAGCTTCATTATTCCAACTCCTATACAAAAAAACGTGGTGGCGGGGGGGGCTCTTTCACTGCAAACCAATGGGAAGTTCTTAACTCATTTCCTTATATTACTTGAAATGAATGTGCTTTCTGTGTTTAGAGAAAAGAATTGCTGAATGCTATGCTTTTTGGGTGCTTTTGAGTCCCATCATCAATACTGTGACGGTGAGAAAATTAACCCTTATGTACTTCTAAGGGGAGTAGGGTTATTTTTAAATATAATAATAGCAGTTTTCTTAAAAAAGAAAGAAAGAGAAGAAAAGCCTTCCCTCCCAGTTTTAAAAGAGACTTCAGCTGCCTTCTTCAGAAAGAACTGGCTGTTATCTCTTTACAGTGGCATGACTAGGGGCGTGCGGGCGGTGTGGACCACACCGGGCAATACTGTCAGAGGGAGTGACACCAGAATAACTGTCTAGAAAATTTTTATGCAGTGTTTCAGCAGAAATTCATTACTTTTATAAAAATATCCCTTTAGTTAGTTATAACAACAAAAAAATATTTTCATAAGCCCAGCTTACATGTATTAATATACCCACAAGGCTAAAACTCTATGCTAATTTACTTTTTGAAACTTCTAATGTGCTCCGGTCAGAGTTGTCATTATTACCCAGTTACAATGATGCTTTGAATCATGTGGTTTCGTCTGCATGCGCTACAAGCACGCTGTTGTTTTCTTTGCTGCCAGTGTTTTTGTAGTCACTGGTTTTGCCAAATTTTCTGGTGTTTTAGCTACAACATTGTGGTAATTAGTATTTGCGAACCTATTATCAATAACGTTTTGGAGAATGAAGTAGTAATTAAAGGAAAAGACAGAGAAAAATCAAGGCTTCAGCTCAGTTGCTAGTAATGTTGTAACTAATAATGTAATTCAATGTAGAAAGATTTTATAAAACAATTTTGCTATTAGTATTCATATAATCTAAGAAATACCACATTTAAGCAATTTACAGTATATTTATCATGTGTTATTCTGATTAAAATGATAATAAGCTTACATGTATAACAATTATTATTGACTGTATAACTCTTTGACAACTAAATAGAGAAACAGTTTAAAATATGAAGTGAGGAAATATGATGTTTCCTGATACATGTTTAAAAATATAACTTAAATCTTAAATTCAGTTTTTTTAATTTTAGTCTTTTTCAAAATTTTGTTTAAAAAATCACTGTCTTGCAAATACATATCTGACTTTAACATTTTCAAGGTTTAAGTTTGAATTACGGTTTCAAAAAATAGTGACACATTAAAAAGTGAGTTGGCGAAAGGCATTGATTTTGATGAAGTCATTCACAAGTACAAAGCTTTGAAGGCAGGAAAGGAAAGTTCTGATTTAGTCAAGATGTCCACTAAGTGCTGAAATGCTTGTGTATTTGTTCCTGTTTATTTTTACAGTATTATTTCATTTATGAATATATTTCCATATGCATTTGTCTACAACTTCTACATTATTTGGGCCATTATTGATTATGAAATCCTAATCCATTAATGTATCTCATGTAATGGTAAAGTCTAACATTAAAATGAATATAATTTTGATGTAGTTCTTAAACTTTTTACTTCAAATTCTACTGTTTTCCTACCAAATTTTCACTTTAACTACATGAAACTATGTAAATGTAAATACATTTAGGCTGTACATACGATACTGTAACTTAAAGGTGTAATTTTAATTTTGCTAGTTGTGTCCGTCACTACTATTGCCATTACATTCAGTGATATACGGGAATTAAGATTTACGAGAAATATTAGCACAAAAAACATTAAGGATTCGGGTACAGGAGGTCCGTGGGGGCAGGGTGACACCATGAGTTACTGCACTAGGTGACACCAACCCACTGTCTCTTTGACCATCTTTCAAGGTGCAGGTTTGATAAGGGCAAGGAAACCATATGTTTAAAAACTTTCTAAAAATATATAGATGTTTCTGAACACTTATACCAACAGTGGTGGAGAACGTTAAAACTGGCTCTCACCTGCCAATACACTGCTTGGAAAAATCCTATCCAGAGCAGAGGAAAGCACTCCCCATCCAGGCTACAATCACCGGGAGGTCGAATGTAGCATCTTCAGCTCCAATGGATGAAGGTGAAAGCTGGGCAGCTCCCAGTGGTGGAAGCACCAGTGTGTCCCCTCAACATGCCTAGGGAAGTGGTAAGATGGGGAGGTAGATCTGCCCTGTCTCCAGTCTAACGGCACAACCTTTGCTTCCAGGGGCTTATTTTTAGACACTTAAACGGAAATTTCTCAGAAAGGAAAGGAAACTACAACCTCTGAGTGAACCTCAGAGTTCTCATTTCTAATCTGGTTTTCACTTTTTGTTTGCTTACTGATTTCCAGACCCTACCTAAACCACATCTCCCATCCTCCAGAAGACATCCACTGCCTAAGCCATGGAAAAGAGCTGGGAGCTTTAGGTGATGAAAATTCCAGTTCTAACACTTCAAAGGCGCATGACCTTGGTCAAGTAAATTAAGCTTCCACAGACTCAGTTTGTGGTCGGTAAAATGGGGATGATAATATGTTACTGGAAAGTTTTTGAGACTTACTACCAGGCTCCTAGTAGGACTTCGTTAAGTGTTTTGGGTATGCTGTGGGTATACTGCGGAAAGCCGCGGGATCCTGGCTGGGTGTCCATGTTGTGATTTCGCTGCCCAAACTTTGCCCATCACCTCTCTCATTAGTGACTGATGATACCAACCGTTCGCCTAACCTCAGGAAGACGCCTCTTACCTACTTCTAGCTCTCTATGGCTTCGAACGTCTGCAAATCCCAAGAAATGAATTCTCATTAAGTGCAAAGGACTAAGTTATCCTGGATGCTCCTTCCTACCGGTTATTGGTAAACCGTTAAATACAACTAAAGCTTGGGAAGAAATGCATACAGTCTTTACAAGTGCAAAGCGGGAGTCTTCACATCTCTTGGGGTGAGGGGTGGGGAAGAAACCCTGACCAAATTCTCCAGGTTGGGGATGGTTCGGAAAGAGGGTAAGACAAGAAGGACTGTGTGGAAGGGACGCCTCCCTGTCCTTGGCGCTCTGGGGAGGAAAGGACGCGAGAGGGGAGAGGTATGGAGAGCAGGGGTACCTGAAGACTCGGGCCGCCGTCTGGTTCCTCCTCCACGCCGTGCCCTGTTGCAGCACCCCCTGCACGATCTCCTTCTCGTTGGGCAGCCGATAGACCGGGAAGATGTAGAGCCAACAGAGGACCACAACGCAGAGGGCACTGGCTCCCACCGGCAGCCGGGTCCGCGGAAACTTCCACGCCAATACAGCCATGGCCCCTCTGGACGTGTGTAGCCGCACCCGCCCGCAGGGGCTCATCTCAGCCCCGGCGTGCCGGGGAGGGGCGGGGGCAGAGCCTCAGCACAATACTTGGCGAAGTGGCAGCGGAGGGTCTCCCCACCGACGGCCCCCCATGCACACACCCTTCCCCTTTCTTGCTTGCACACGCACTCACGCTTCTTCGTTCCCCACAGCCCCAAAGGTCAGCGCAAGGATTTTTTAAATGCAACTTTTTCAAGGATTTTTTTCCAGGCGAAGTGGCCGGGGGGGCAAGTCACGAGCTATGGCCATGGTCGCTTCCCCTGCAGAAGGCGGGCGCTGGGGTCTCGGAAAGCCCGGAGAGCGGCGGCGGCAAGTCGCTCCTGCCAGTTCTGCAGCATCACCGTCGCCCTCAGCGTGGGTCCGGGGAGAGGCTCGGTTCCTTCCCAGACATTTGGCCGCGGCGTCCCTTCTGAGGGATGCTCCTTCGCCCTTCGCCGCCTCTCCCCGCCCGCCGCGCTGCTGCGCCGCCAGGCACCCCCACAGACGCGCTCTCCGCGCCGCGCCAAGTCCTTGGAAATTTCCACGGCGGCCCAGGACCGCTATCCTACCCGGGCTTCTCCACCTCCCCCGCCAGGACCCTCGTTCCCCACCCCTCCCAGAGAATAAAAGAACTCGCTCTCATGAGTTAATTCAGCGGCGCGCCGCAGCCTTCCGCTGCGTCCGGACTCCGCAGACAAACGCCCGGGGATTGGTGGAAATCAAGGTCTCCCTCTCCCTCCCCCACTAGCAAAATTGCCTCCTTCGACCCGTTTGGATCTGCGACGCTCAGCTAGAGCGCGCACCCCTCTCTCCTGCCCTTGTTCTCTGGGGCTAGAAGCAGACAATAAAAAATAATACCCCACCCCTCAAAAAAAGATCATAAATCCCTCGATGTGGCAGAGACTGGCTGATACCCTGACCCTTCCACACGAAGCCGGCATGCCCAGGCTGTCGGCCTGCCGCCCTCACCCTCGTTTTTCTCTAACTGGTTTGTTATTAACCCGCAGTGAGGCGCGAGGAGGTCGGCGGAGATTTATTCCCTCCAGGGCCCCCACCACCATTAGCTGGTCCAGTAGCCGCGGGTCCAGGCGACACCCATGCGCGGGAGCATACACACACACGCGCGCGCACCCACACACACACTCAGGGGCACACACATACAGGCACAGCGACACGCACATGGGCGCACGCGCGCACACGAGGAGGTGCGCGCACACCGGTGTCCTCCGCCCCTCTTCCGCCCTGCAGGGAAAGGCGCTGCTGCATCCAGATGTGCAGGCAGCTGGTGCCCAAGCACGCAGACCCTGGGCCGCAACAATGCTTTGGAGGAGCGTTCGCCGCCTGCGCCTTTTAGATTAAAGGACCGTTTCTTCTGAGACGTCTTTCGCGCCCCAGGTACAAGCTTATAGCAACCCACCCCAACCTTGGAAAAGCTCCACGCGCTTAGACGCGCGGTGTGGAGGAAGCCACTGTAAGCCATTTCTGTTCACCCCAGCCCCCGACCCATAGTTCGGGTACCTCCTAGTGGTTGCCTATTCTATTTACTTAAAAATCTCATCAGGCATAAAGAGTGCAAGGACAAAGAAGAACCCTGGTAGCCTACTCACGTGTCAGCTTATTAATCACAAAACCAAAATACAAGGAAAATACAAGGCCATAACTCCATTTGCTCAGTGGACCAGGCTGTGGGGCCTGGGCAACCTACACTGAGTGCTGTATGACCTGGTACTATCCAGCATTTTTCTTCACTGAGAGATGGACCTTGAGAATTGGATGGGAAGTTATTTACCAAACGCTAACTAGGCCAGCGAACAACCACTATATCTCATTCTCCCAACGACACTACGTTCTCTTAGGAGAATAACCAACTGCCCTCCACCTGCAGGCATGCCCCAGAAATCTCTACCCTAAGTAGGTAAATACGTAGAGATAGGGGAAACCCTGAACCCCAAAGTTACATCTCACAGTAGCAAAGCCTAATAAAGATTCTTTAAAATGAAGATCACCTGAAGTCCTGCAAAGTAACCAGCCAACCCTCTTCTGTTCTGGGGAGGGAGAGGGAGGAAGGAAATATCTTTTCTATAGTTGCCAGAACTGTGGATAAATCATCTGCTGCCTTTATTCCTATAATTTAAGTAAAACACAAACCATCCTAAATATCTCTTTTCTTCCCCAAATCCAGCGAATATTGTGGATTAAATAACAAATAAGTAAACCAATAAACAAAAATAGGGCCTGTTGCACTTATGAAGAGGCTACGCCATGTTTCCCCATTTAAAATCATGAAAATACTTCAAAGTCTTGCTTTAAATCAAGAGACTTCTGTAGTGCAATGTGTTTTTCGTTCTGAAAAACTAAGATATTTTCACCCTTATTGGCTCTTGCCCTACCCTACAATCCAACCTTAAACCCATTGCCTGGAGTAGATTCTGACTCATAGTGACAACCCAACCTTATTCCCTGTTTTTTCTTCAGCCAGACCATTCTCCTCACCCTTCCAAGTCACACAGGGATCAATTCTGTCACTGTGTTGTGGTCGATGTTCTTCTTGCATGAGATGCATTTTTTTTTCTTCCTCCTATACAAATCCAACTCTTTATTCCAGGCCCAGGCCCAAGCCAAGCAGCTAGGAATTTCTTATTCAGTGTGTTCCCAGAAAGCGTAAAACACCGTGCTTCATGGAGTAGGAACTCAATAAGTGTTTGTAGTTTCTACTCCTATTGCCTTTGACCTTCTGCTCTGAATGCCTATAGTGTTTGCTGGCTTTAACAAATGATTAAACACTTAAATGTGTTGCATTGTGATGCTAGGATTTTTCATATGTCAAGTTGTCTCCCCAGCTGAGCAGTAAGAGTATTTGGTCTCATTTGTCAAATGAAAAAGCCTGTGCTTTTGATCCAAATTAGGACTCCACATGGTATGTCCACATGTCTGGAGAAGAGCAGCAACAATATTTTACATTTTCCTCCAGGTACCAAGTAGGCTTGAAGCCATACATACACAATAAATAATTACTGCTTGATTGTTGCCTCAAATTTGTTCAGGCTGTTGCTAAGGCAGCATTGTTTCAGGAAAAGGATAAACCCCCAAGTTATAATGCTTTAGATAAAACATTTACCTGATATTGACCCATCTTGTTTATATAACTTTTAGGAGGTGGCTTAGGTATTCTTTTATACTTCTGAGTACACATAGAGGACACAAACAGGGTTTGCTAAAGGACTAAAATCACTTTTAAAACTCTGTAAATGTCTATTGGAGTCCTGGTGGCACAATGGTTAAGAGCTTGGCTGCTAACCAAAACGTTGGGGGTTCTAACCCAGCCAGCGACTCTATGCAAGAAAGACCTGGTAATCTGCTTCTATAAAGATTACAGCCTAGGAAACCCTATGGGGCACTTATAGTCTGTCACACAGGGTTGCTATGAGTTGGAATCAACTCAGCAGCACTCAGCAACAACCACACAAATATCTATCAGAAAAATATAGAGAAGGGAGATCCAGTAGAATGAGCTCTACCTTTAGTGTAGACAAATCTGGCTCAAATTCCATCTCTGCCACTTACTAGCCGTGATCTTGGTCAGTTACATAAACTCTGAACTTGTTTTCCCCCATCTTTAAAATAATGGCAATGTTCACTTTATTGCTATGAAAACATACAACTAAATGATACGCATGCAATGCAAGACTCTGCTATTTTACTAGCGTCCCCAATCTTCTTTAGAAGAGCAGTGTGAGAGTAGAGGACAGAGTAATTTAACATATTTATTCTTACCTACCAAAGGCAATATGATGAGATCAATGCCCCCTAAGTACTGTATTGTCACTACCATTCACCAGCTCATAAAAGGTCTTGCAGGCACTGAAGGCCAGTCCCTAAGTGAAAAGCTATTACTTGTTTTGACAATCTCTTGACCTGGTAAACGTGATGTGTGAAATTACTTTATACCATAGGTAAACTTGATGCAAGCTCTCTGTGACACCGGAGAATGTAGTGGAAGCCATTATAAAGGATGGAACCACTACAGAATTAAAGTAATGGAGAAAACAGGAAAGGAACACGTCTCAAGGAGAAGTACAGAGCGACCAAGATGAAGAAAGATTATCACAGTCAATGGGATACAAGCAATTTGCCAGCTAGCTCACACACTAATATGGAACTATTAATAGTCACACAGAAAACTATCATTAAAAGATTACATAGAATTGTCAATGATTTGAGTTTAAAAAAATTCACAATAGTCATACTTCCTTTAGCCTCTGCTCAAGTTCTTGTCAGAATGGCTTAGAATGAAGAGACCACATCATAAAAACACAACATTTTTTACAAGCAGTTACACACCAAGGTAAATAGAGTTACACATTGAGAAAAGCTATGGATGTGGCTGTGGATGCAGTTTATCTGAGTAGATCCTCTCCCATCTTCAGCCCTATTAAAAGGACAGTAGAGAGGTAAAAAAGTCATTTAAACTCACACAAAAAAGAGAAAAAGATAGGATGCAAAAGCAGGCAAAAGATGTCAAAACAGTTCGCCAGTAGAAAACCAATGGAACAAGTGATAACTGACTTACCTGACCGGAAAAAGCTCTGGGCCTTCAAGTGTGTGTGTGAGTATGTGTGTGTGTGTTTGTGTGTGTGTGTGTGTGTGTGTGTATGTCGGCATGATAGGAGTGAGAGGAGTAACAGAAGCCAACAAGAATCCATCTGATTTGCACTACAAAGCTCTAGAAAGGTTCAGATATTAGAGGCAACTGGTACCTCTGCAGGTGGAGGTGATGGACGGGGCTGATAAGAGATTCGTTCAAAAGTCTGCAAAAGGAGCAGTAAAGCCCTTAGATTTCATCCCCCAATGTGGCTTAAAACAGTAGGCAATCCCTCTAGAGAGGTTGACCAGCACAAAGAAAATCTTACTGCTTCTGAATGTGAGGGAGGCCTCCAGTTAAACAGCCATATCCTTGCCTAACACCCCATGGTGAAGCTGGATAAGCTCTACTCACACAGAGCTTCCTCGCATCTTTA